ATTATAAACTGATGAACAAAAATAGATACAGAGGCAGAGCAGCATTGAACAGACTATCAAACTACAGCGGGAAGGCTGGGGAGGGTTGGGGGGCAGAAGGGGGGGGTAAGAGATCAACCGAAGGACTTGTATGCATGCATATAAGCATAACCAATGGACATAAGACACTGGGGGATAGTGGAAGCTGGGGGAATGTCAAGAAGGGGAAAAAAAGGAGACATATATAATACTCTTTGTAATACTTTAAGCAATAAAACAAAATTAGAAAAAGAAAAAAATTATACATAAGCTGTATGAAGACCCTATTATTACTGTGAAACAGCAGTGGAATGCTAGCCCTGCACTGTTCAATACAGTAGCCACACCACAAGTGGTTCTTGAGCACTTGAAATGTGACTAGTCCAATTAGAGATGAGCAGTAAGTGTAAAATACATACCAGATTTTGAAGACTCAGTACAAAAGAAATGTAAAATAAAATAGCTCAATAATTTTATATTATTACATGTTGAAATGATAATATTTTAGGTATACTGAGTTAAATCAAATACATTATTAAAAGTAATTTCAGCTGTTTGTCTTCACTTTTTGAATGTGACTACTAGAAAATTTAAAAATTACATATGTAGCTCATTTGTGGCTCTGTGAAACTCACATCTGTTATCTTCTACAGATGGCTAATGGCTTTAACCTGAAGAATAAGTTTTCATGAAAATGAGTGATTAAGATAGACAATTAGAAGTGTAACTAGGGCCCTCATTAATTATGTTCTAACTTATTAGAGAGCACTCAACATACAATACAGACCCATCCTATATAATAAAAGGCTAATATGCAAATAGACCAAATGGCAGAACAACTGAACAACCGAACAACCGGTCACTATGATGTGCAGTTACCACCAGGGGTCGTGTGCAGAACGTGGCGGGTGTCAGCAGCAGGCGACAGAATGCGGAACATGGCAGGCATCGGCTGAAGAGGGATGGTGGAGCAGGTGAGCGGGGGCACCAGACCAAGGCAGGGTGCCGGTCGCTGTCATCATGGTGAGCCGCTGATGGTTACTGAAAATTCTTTGCTCCCACGTGTCACGGTCCTGCCTGGCGCTCGCACCTGCTGCCAGCGCTGGAGCCGCTGCTCGTACCCGCTGCCCGCACCCAGCACTGGCCCTGATCCCTCAGCACCGTCAGCATGTGCAAGCAGCAGCTGCCAGCCCCAATCGCCCCTCAGGGCTTCTCCACCTCCCTCTGCTCCTGAGGGGCAATCAGGACCAGCAGCCACCACTCGTACCCACTGCCTTGTGGCCCACAGTTTCTTTAAAGGTGCACGAATTCATGCACTGGGCCCCTAGCTCATTAATAAATGTGTGCTTGATATATGCATTCACTCAGATATATCTAATAGATAAATGTTGAGTTTTATTTCGTATGTGATACTGACTATTCCTAAGTCTCTCTCTCTCTCTCTCTCTCTCTCTCTCTCTCTCTCCCTCTCTTCACACACACACACAGGCACACATGCACAATTGCCCACATGGGCTAAGAAAATTCAAAAGTGAAACAAACAGGAAGCCCTTGCAAACTGTCTTCAATCAAGTCTTTTGTATCTTTTCTCTCTCTTCTTTCTCCGTATTGTAAAGGCAGGAGAAAGGCAAGGTAAAGAAAAGATAGTCTGCTCTTTTAACCATACTGCTCACCAACAACCCCCACCTCAAAGAACAAAAATATGGGTGATTTGGTTCTCATTTAAAATATTTTTTTCAAATTCAGTTCAGAGGGGTAACATGTGCACAAAGGCAAAGAAGATCCAGGAAATTCTGCAAACAAGAGACTGCCATTTGTGAAAGAGTCAGACTCTTAGAGTGGGAATGATAAGATTCAACACTTTTAGAAAATAAAAAAAGCAAATATTTTTTAAACCCTAAAGGCATCATCCATCAGGCCTCAATTTATTAGCACTTTCAATTAGAGAAAACAGGAGAGGGTAACACAGAAGTCCCAGATATTTGTTATGAACTTTTTGTTGTTGTTGTTTCCACCACAGTAAAAATAAAATGGCCAGGTTTATTTTTGGAGGAAAGCAAGATAAATGCAGCTGCCATTCTTCTCTCTTATGCACATATACTTGGGGTGGGCTGTCCTGGACTTGTGATCTGGCTACAGAATGGGCCCAACTTCTTCTTCTACTAACCTCGAGGTCAGCCATTCTGTCCCAAGTGAAGTCTGGCCTTATTGAGCCTGTAGCTCTTAGCTATGAACTGATAGGATAGAGATAAGGAGAAAACTGCCTGCTCAGGCAAAAGTAGGTCACATGATTAAGCACACAGGAAAAAAAATATATCAGAATGTAACAATTTAAAGAAGAAGAGGACAAGAAATTGCTGAATTGGGGATATGTGGCCCACAATTAGAGATCCCAGAAAGCAATAAAACTATGAGTAAGATGAGTAGTTCTTAGCAGCATTAAATGTGCATCCACAACTCACACTGAGATGCTGAGCTGCACCAAGCTTTCCCCCACCCACCCTTTTGCCTGTATTCTGATTTGCCTTCCTTGCCAAATTTATGCCAAGGTCACATGCCCTTGGTGAATCTGAGGTGTACTCATTTAGCTATTAATTTGGGACAGTGTTGAATCAATAACCCAGGTCCCCAAAGGAAGGCCTTATATACAATATAGAGTATATTTCTATCACTACTAGTGTATGTCATGAAGTTTTGAGGCCTGGATTAAAGTGCAGACCAAATTCAAGCAAATATACTTTATTTCCCAGTTCATCTTTGCTCTGTGAACTAGAATGCCAACTCCTTTTCTTGCATCACTGGCACCTTAATCATTTGTTTCAGCCAGCAAAATAAATATTTACATTAAAAGGAGCTCGAGAGCTAAACCAGCCTATTCCTATGGATTAAGCCCCAGTAAATCAGAACCTTCTAAGGCACAAATGCTATAGTCAGGATTGTTTCTAGAATATAAAAATATACACTTTGGGAGCGAGAAAAAAATGGCAGAAGAATAGGCAGACATGTCCTGAGCCTTGTTCCAGAGCAGATAGAATGAGCAACTAAATCGAATAACATCCACCCCAAATTGGCGAAGTAGACACAGCTGGTGAGACAATTCGCAGCCGGGAAGGGCAGAAGATGCCTGGAGAATGGTAAAATCAGGGATCTGGGCTGGAGAGAACTGTGAGACTTCCAAGCCCAGAGGGTCAAAAGAAAGCCGCATGGCACTGAGGCCATGTCCCTTGGGACAGGTGTAGCATCTGACTGTGTAAAGGAGGTCTGCAGGGCTGCTGGTGGCAGAGGATTCTGGATATAAACCCACAGCCAGGAGAGGCTGAGCCCAGAGGGGTCAGCCTGGATGGCTGTCTAAGCCGTGCGATGCCGCAGGGAGAGGGGCTCACAGTGGCGCAGTTCTTTCCCCTCTTTTTGGTCTTTGCTTTTATCCACTAAACCCAGTTAATAGGACCTTTCAAATATAAACACTCACCCATGGCTGAGGTGCAGGTGGAGGTGCAGACTTGTGGAGTCTGGGGAGAGGTTTAGGAGAGGAGAGGGTCAAGGAGAGGTGGCCTTGAGTCTGGCGCTGAGTCATACCTGCCATGCTGGACCTAGGCAGCCATTTTCTCCTGAAGAGAGAGCCCCTCCCTGCAGTCTCCAGGCAACCAATACAGCCACACCCAGACTACACCCTGAGTGATACAAAGGATACAAAAAAAAAAACTGAATAGTCCCTGAGAGTCCTCAGGGACAGGCCTAAAAGAGGCTTTTCAGTTCCAGCAACAGGAAACGGAGAAGCGGAAGACAGTACAGAAGAGTAGGATCTCAAACCAGCCCCATGCGGAATTAAAACTCGGTGGAAAGAAACGACACTTCACTTTTTCATTTTTATTTTATTATTATTTTTTATCTCTTTTTTCTTTATTTTCCTTTTTGTTTGTTTCTTTATTTTCTATTTCTTGTAGCATTATTTTTTCATCATTTTAATTTTTTTAATTTTATCTTATTTTTTAAATTAATTTTTTATTATTTTTTCTTCTTTCTCTTCCTTCTTATCCACTCATCCTCTTTCTACTTCCTCTATACTGAACTGAGGTCCTCCCCATATTCATCCACTTCCATAACCTTACTTTCTGTATATAAGCTTGGCCTCTACAGATTCTGCCCCCACCCTTTTTACTCACTATTTGGTGTTTGTATGTTTTGGTTTATCTGTTTGTTCTCTGGTGTTTTCTCCATATGTATAATATTTTTTTCCTGTTTTTCTTCCTTCTTCTTCTTTTTTTTTCCTCCCATACCATTTTTTCTCTCTTTGATGTCATTTGTGCTCTCTTTTCTCTCCCTTAATTCTCTTTTCCCTGGTGGTCACTTATATTGGGGTTATTGGTGTCATGAGTACATTCATGTTTTGTTCCCTTTGTGTCGTGCCTTGGAGAGTTGCATTTTGTCCTGTTTGGCCAATGTGGTAGAGAATGAGCCACATAAGCAGACACCCAGAGAGAAGACTCCATCCACGAATGGGTCAATAACACTCCAGACGAATTAAAGAGGCAGGAAGAAGGCAGCAGTGAGGGAGAGAGCAAAAGTGAGTGAGGGAGTGAAAGAGGAGTGTGTGGATGTGTGTGTGTGTGTGTGTGTGTGTGCATGTCTGTGTGAGTGAGGCACTATTAGATCCCGCAGGACCTTTGGGGTAAGGCTGACTGGGCTCACCTAACTAGGCAGCCTCTGCTACCATTGCTATCAGTCCCAGAGCAGCCGGATCTTCCACAGAGGCCACGCCTTTTTGAAGGAGAGAGCTGCTGTGTCTGGAAGCCCAGCCTCACCTCCACACAGGGTGCCCTCAGACACCACCTGGGACTCTACAACCACCCCTTCCAGGGGCCTGCTGCCTCAACTACAGTCCCACGGTCACCAAGACTCAAGCCACCCAAGGTGTGGGCTCCTGTGAGTTCCAAAGTGCACTCACCTGTGGACAGCCCAACACTTTAGCCCAGGGCACAATAAACACGTGAGCAGAAGCCCTGTGAACAGCCCATACCAGACAGAGGAGCAGCAGCTACGTGAGCAGCCCGCCCACATACGAGGAGCAGCAGCCCTATGAGCAACCTAACCCCATCGGAGGAGCAGAAGCCCCGCAAGCAGCCTGCCCCTGTCTGAGGAGCAGCAGCCCACCCCCACCTAAGGAGCAGAAGCTGCGTGAGCAGCCTGCCCCCACAAGGCAGAGGAGCCACCACTGCTGCGAGAAGTGCCCAACAGAGGAACCACCGCCAACAGAGGAGCAGTCACTGCTGCGACCACCCAAGGAGCAGCTGCCGCCCAAGAAGCCCGTGCAACTATAGGAGCAGCCCCTACACCACTCGACACCTAGATCCTTCGGTGAGTGCAAAATGGGGAGACTAAGAAACCCCCAAAGGAAAGAAAGGGAGGAATAGCCAGAAAAGCAGCTAAGTGAAACAGAGGCATGCAATATGTCAGAAAAAGAATTAGAATAAGGATCATACAGTTCATAAATGAGATGGATGAAAAAATCAACAACTTATGTAAGAATCAAGAAGAAATAAAGAGTGATATAGCTTCAATACAAATCACTGTGGAAAGTTCTTAGCAGACTAGGAGAAAGGGAGGACTGAATTAGCAAATTAGAAGACAGGGAAGCAAAACACACACAAACTGAACTGCAATTGGAGAAAAAAATTAAAAGACAGGAGGAGAGCCTAAGGGGGTTTTGAGACAACATGAAACAAAGCAACATACGAATAATAGGGATGTTAGAACGACTGGAAGAGGAATAAGGGTTAGAAAACCTATTTGAAGAAATAATGCCAGGAAACTTCCCTGATATGGGGAAGAAAAAGTCACACAAGCACCGAGAGTCTCAAACAAGATGAACCCAGAACGTCCCACACCAAGACACATCATAATTGGGATGGCAAACGTTCATAACATAGAGAAAATATTAAAGGCTGCAAG